GAGCTTCGAGAGAACTTTTTAGAAACCTCTTACTTTAATAAGAGATGATCATGATTCCTTCACCAACGCCCCGGATTAAAATGAAACTAGTGATCTCTTATGCTCACTCTTAGAGTCTATAAAACCTACATATACTCATTTATTAATAAACCTAACCCTAAACCCTACTCCTAATCTAAAAAGAACCTAAAAAATATCTTCCAAAAAATTTTAAATTTTTTTTAAAAAACAAAAAAATTTTATTTTAATTAGATTTCATTTTAATCTGTGACAATTATTAAAATATATAAAAAAAATTTTTTACAAGTTTTCAAATTTTGACCTGGCCAAGTTATAAAAACCAAGAATTTTTTTTATATAGCCTTAATAAACCTTTTAAATTTTTTTTAAATTTTGATTAAAGATTAATATTAAATAACTTTATCTAATAATCATTTGTATTAAATTTACAACTATTGAAAACAGAAACTTGTTAGAAAAAAATAAAAAAAATAATTATATGTATAAGTAATAGTTTTTACAAAGGTCAAGTTCTTTCTAGTATTCTTGTCTACAAAACTTCTTTATATATTTAGCAAGCAAACTAAAAAATGAATATTATTAAAAGAAAACTCAACAATTTAAATACTGTAAGACTTATATTTAAAATTTCAGGTTTTCTTTTAGTGACACACAAATATTCTTATATAAGATAACTAACAAAAGATAATGTTCTTATATAAAAATTTAAATAAAAACATAAGCTTTTGTTAATAAAATAAAAAGATAGTCTAAAAAGAAAACAATAAACAAATTTTTAAAACACTCTTTATTGAAAATCAAAGCTATTTGCAAACTAAAACTCTCTTTAATACTCTACTTTTTGCATTTTATAAAATTTTACCAAAAAATAAAAAATTCAATATACTTTATTAAAAAACAACAATTGTTACTAGAAAATATATATATGTATATGCTTACTTTAAAATTAATAGTATATAACTAAACTTCTGCCTTTAATATTTTACAAATATAAAATCTTAACTTAAGTTAGATATATAACCTAGAATAGGAATAACTATATTTGATTTATATTGTAGAGGTTTTGCTAGAAATGCAAGAGAAATTTCAAACTTGGATCTTTATTTAAGAACAGATAGTTTTGATAAAGATTTATATCCTTTATATAAATATAAATAGCTAGTATAGAGATTAGACTAGTCTATTTAGTAATATTACTATATTTAATTTTTACAATCTTATATAGGTTTAATAATATTATATTTTCTTTTTTTTTGTTTTTTTTTTTTTTTCATTATCTGTTTTATTTAGTTTAAGTTGTTTAGGTAGATCAAAATTTAATATTAAAATATTTCTTTCTTTTTTGCTTTTGTACTTTGTATTTGTGTTTGTACTTTGTTACTGTAAAAAGAAAAGTCAATTCTGATATGATGTGTGATACCAGCCAATAACCAAAGAATTCAAGCCTCTAGTAAGTTAAAGGCCCAAAGAGAGGCTTGAAATCTACTAAGGCAAATCATATCTGGTTGTTAACTAGGTGTGTCTTTGTTATTTTAGATTAGCATAATTATACAGTATATAGAAAAATTCTTGTAATTTTTCGAATAACTTAGTCTTAATAAACAGAGGCAGGATAAATAAATTATAAAAAAAAAAAAAAAAACTGAAAATATTTCAACTACTTAATTAAATTTGGCAAAAGTTTTTTAAATTCATAAAATTCAAATAAATTTTTTTTATTTAAATTTAGTTAGGTATTACCAAAATAATTTTGCTTAAAGTTTTTATTTTGTTAGAAAAATGTAAACAATAAATATAGAAGTATAAAAAATAGCTCCTTAATATTTTTAATAGTTTTTCACTTAGTAAGTTAACGTTTTTTTATTATATAGTTTTAGTATAATTTTCTAAAAAAAACTGCATTTACATATTTTTTTTTTTTTTTTTTTTTAATCTTCAAAGGTTGCATTTACATATTTATATATTCTTCATTTCTATATTAACTATAGTTTTTTACTTGGTTTCTTGTTAAATGCTTTGCTTTACTAATTGTATATTTTTTTCTTTTATCTTTTTTATTCGACTTTTACTCTATCACTTATTTAGCTAAGGGCTAATTTACTTTTTATATAATGATAGAATCAAGCATCTTAAAAATTATCAACATTTTATGGCCTCATCTTTGAAGATTAAAAAAAAAAAAAAAAATTATCAACATTTAATACATTAAAACTTATGCATAAAAATATTGAGTATGAGTGGATTCCAATTTATTGATTAATTATTTTACAATAGGATAACTTTACATCCTCCGTCAAGCATCATGCATGATCGAACTTAATGTTCGATAACAACCACTTTATCCGACTGTTACAGTTTTTATGGGAATGAAATGTAATATGATATAATATATTTAAAAAGAGTATATATACGCGTGTAAATTACCTTGTACATTTATTTAAAAATATGGTTAAAGTCTTAAATAATTAAAAATAATAATTGTAATTTATTTCTTTATAATAAAACAACTATTCAAGTTCGTAAAACTGTAATTTTCGAATAAATTAGCCAAAAAAAAAAAATAATATGGGATCCGGGTCACTAGGTAACCCGTTTTAGTCGGTTTCTGGTTTTAATTTCGGAGATTTGGTTGAAAGGAATGTTAGACCAACGGGTCACGAATAAAAAGTTTAAAATGGTTTGAAAACCCTAATCGCAATCTGATCACATATCGTTTGGAAGAATGTCATCAGGTCCACGCCATAGGGCCATTAATACTGCACAGAATAAAATAATGATAAACCGACACCAACGCCAAATAAGTCGGAGTAACCGGTATACATATCTTGCCCATCGCTTCCAAAACCATTCTCGTTTCCGCATTGCCATCTCATCATCTTCTTCAAATTCATCCAAGAAACTAAAATCATCATCAGATAAATAATCTAATTGAGATATATCATCATCAGGTTGTGAACCATTCAAAAAGAAATTTGCCAGATCTTTTTCTGAAGCAATAGGAGAGAAAGCAGGAGATGATTCGCTAATTGATTTCTTCCTATCTCTTTGAAATAGGTTGGCTTCTCTGTACCACACATTTTCCAATTCAGAGAGTAAAGTAGTTCGAATCTTGCTGCCAAAAGTTTGCTGTGAATTGGGATTTGTTACAGAACCGAATGAATTTACACCATCTGGATTACTTATCCGCCTTATGGCATTTGTCATCATTCCATTATCCGAATAAGAGAAAGAGTTTGACCTAGAAGGAGTTCTCGAGTACATGTTTGTCCTCATTCCAATGATCATTGCACGTTGTTCTTCCAGAGATTCATTGAGCTCATTGATAAGAAGTTCTTGTTCTCGATGGGCAACCTTCAATAACTCATAATCTTTTGATTGTTCTGATAAATCATTGAATTGTTCTTGAAGAGCATCCAAATCCTTTACAGTTCTTTGAAGTCGTTTCTCAATTTCAGCCTTGGTACGCTCAACGGCGTTATTTTGAGATTCTAACTCCGAGACTTTGGCTAGTAAAGTTTCGATAACATCGTCATCATTTGAAGATTTTTTATTATATTTAATATTCCAAAAATCCGATTTTTGTTTTTGTTGTAAACGTTCGTTTTCTTGTTCAAGGACTTCAATTTGATGGGTGGCAGATGTATAAACTTCTTGGTAATGATTAATATCGGACTCTAATTTTCGTATTTTTGCTTTATTAGTTCTATCACTATCGTTATGTTCCTTTATAATATCATCAAGTTGGGATTGGAGTAATTGATTTCTGAGTTCTAATTCTTTTATGCTTTCAAGGTCTTTATAACTAACAGGTTGATCACTCTTCTTACGACTTCTTAATTTATTATCGGATCTATCATATAAGTGAGGAGAAGATTCGAAGGAACTAGAAATTTGGTGTGGTTCCAAATCACTATCTTCGAAATCACTATCATCAATGACAGAGCTATTAGGAGGAGCTATCGGAACCACGTTTGGTTTTTCAGCATGTAACGCAAAAGTAGCTTTACTTCGCTCTTTACGTTGTAACTGTTGGTATTCAATTACGAGTTCCTCATATTTTGCTTTAAGAGCTATATTATTCTCAAGCAAGCTTTTACCGATTTCAGCGGCAAGAGTAAGATCTGCATAAAAATAAGAGAAATAGTAACGATGAGTCTTGACCCGTCGATTACATCATCAAAAATTAACGTCACGCGTAATTATCACGAATAATATATGTATATGTATGTATATTTTTATTAAACAGCATATTTTACTCGCTCATGACTTTTTTTTTTTAAAAAAAAAAAACAAAGAAAAATATATTTACCTCTTTCTTTCTCTTTTACCATATTATAAGCTTCTTTTAATGAAGCGGTAAGTTCAGCATGAGATTTCATATGCCAAGAACCTGAAAGCGTTGGTGAAGCACAAGGACTATATGCTGGCGAAGACGGAGAAGCGGGTGACCCCATGTTAGAAAAGTTTGTATCTAGAGACAGTTTTATTTTAATTCGGGGCGTTGGTGAAGGAATCATGATCATCTCTTATTAAAGTAAGAGGTTTCTAAAAAGTTCTCTCGAAGCTCTTTAATGGTTTTTAATGATATTTTTTAGGATTTTATTATTTTTTTTTTAATTTTAATTTTTTATTTTTTAACAAAAAGGAAGCATATGTTCGCGGTGGAACGTTGAGGAATATTATTTATGGAATACACGAGGTTGCATTCAGACTAGAAAAGACCGAACAGACCAACAACCATAACGTTCTTTGTGAGAGTATAAAAAAAAAAATAAATAAAATTATAATAGAGTCGTAGTATATGCTTTGTTATTTAACAGAGGAAATATAATATCGAAAAGGGAGGAGCAGGATATATATATACAAGAGGGAATACAATATTGTTCAGGTATTTCAATGAGTATTGTAAAAAAATTTTTATTTATTCTCCACTACCAGCTACCGAGTAGTCGAAACTTTTTCATCAATTTATTCAGAAAAAGTTTTCGTCAAGGGTAGAAGGAGAAAACGTTAGTTTTAATGCTCAGAGATTTGTACTCTGATTGTTGCAGTGTGTAAAAGCGGTTTACATACCTGTTTACTCCCCTTGTTATACTGTACAAATATAAAGTGGCCTAATATATTCAATATATTCGAATTGTGATAAGGAAAAAGCAAATATTGGAATATAAATATAAATATAAATAAGTATATAAGTATATTTATACTTATATATATATTTATATATATATTAGGATAAAATAAAAGATATTTTTTTATGTAGAATAAGGTTCGAGTGTGGCAACGAACATAAGCCCGGTGACGAGAAAGAGGGGAGATAAAATAAAAATCGAGAATTGATTTATTTCCGACATTGATAATTTGGGTAAGTTGTGTATATGTTTATGTATAAAAAATATGATATCATTATGTGTAAGTTGCTTCATTCACATGTGGTTTTCGTATGAAAATGGGAATGTAATCGGATAAGTGTGCATCCAACCTAAACAACAATAACACAAGAAATCTGGAAAAGAAATAGATGATCAAACAACGGTACCACCACAGCCCAACAGTCAAGATGGATTTTCCATAGCATTTTAAAACTCGATGACCTTATGGGACTCGTACAAATAAGGAATTTTTAAAAGTCAAAAACGATGTGTTGATCTAAAAAGCACATGTGGGTAGGATATCATTTTATTCCATGTGCTAATAATTAAATTATTTTTTTAAAAGTGGGAATTTGCTTTCCGGGCAAATCCAAAATCTGCAATGCATTTCACCGATAAATAAGAAATCAATAGTAAATACTGCTGTAATAGGTATTAGTTACGCATACGTAGTAGCATAGTACCTAGACAGTGGCAATTACTATGGGAGTATGGGATTATGGAATTATGGGATTAAGGGATTAAGGGATTAAATTAAAGGGTCAAATGCAGTACAACATTCTTTAACGAAAGAAAGATTTCGTTTTAGAAGATTATTATTTATCTATGAATGGACAAATACCAAAATAATCCAAAATAATCACAAAATACAAAAATACCAAAATAGAATGATACGTGTTCAAGAATAAAGTATATATTCCGATATAATCACACAGGTAACCACACAGGTAACCACACAGGTAATCACACAGGGAGGGTGTGATGAATGTAACGCCAATTTACGATATAAAATATATAAATGATACGTTTGCGCCAATTTTCCAAAAAAAAAAAAATTTCACAAAGGATATTAACTTGACGAAAGATCATATGTAGAATATGATACGAAATAAAGGAATAGTGTAGATATTAACATATTAACGCTAAGCGTAAATGAATTAATAATGAATTGCAAATGAAAAATAATCATCAGCAAAATTCATCAAATTCATAAAATTGATGAGACTTGTACTACTAAGCCACCTTCTATTTTGACAACTTTAACATATGAAAAATATATAAAATTGTTAACTATAACTTACCTATAATTGCTTTAAAAATAAATCTTGCAAGTTATCTCAAGTTTATTAGGTTTTTAGATAATCTAATTTTTAATATTTAATATTTAATATTGACAGAACGAAGTTTATACCCTTAAAGAAAAATCTACAAAATCTTGTTAACGTTAAGATCTGAAAAAGAAAATAAAGTACAAATGGCGTTACTTTACAGTTTTCTACGCCGGATATTTCACGATTTTCGTAGATCTTGAAATAATCCAGTGTTCCCAATAACCTGTGTTGTCTCCACCTTACCTTTTGCATCCGCTTACGTGAGTTACGTTCACCCTTTAATTTAAATCAATTTAAATCAATTTAAATCAATTTAAATATTATTTAACTTGGATGTTGATGTGCTTCCCACGTTTGTTTACGCTTATTTTATGTTTTTCATCACATGACCAATTGTGGGGTAAACAGGTTTAAGAAAAAAGCTGCCAACCCATTAAAGTTCTTCGCCTGAAGGGATTGAGATGGTCTATTAGTTATATTTAACTTAGTGTATAAACGCAAAAAGCCTTTAGTTACATTTTCATGTGGTGATGTTGACTCTGATAGTCATAATCATTATTGTATTTGGACGTATCAAATATTTTTGTGCGACAAATCTTCCCCACAAAAATATCAACCCCACCTTCAATTCGTATGTACAAACAATAAACATCTGTTATGATGATCTTTACTAATTTTCTTTTTAAAATGTTGACCGCATCACAATTCTATTACGAAAGTATTATTAAATTCGATAAATACGAGGAATATCTCAATAAAAATAGTCAAACTGGTTTTATATAAACAATCAATACATCTAACTTTGGGATTTTTGCGTATTACGTACTCTTTTATTTTTATATTTTTATTTGCGTAGAATTATCTCACCAACTTCTTTATATGTGATCCACAATAAATCTTGAAAAATTCATTATTATTCTAAATTTCCGGTTATTTTATCTTGGCGGTTGGCGCGAAACCCTCCCTTGTACAGTACAGTACGTACAGTACGTAATTATTTTGTTACGTATCTTAAAGTTTCCCCGAATTCAAACTTGATTTCTGACTGGAATATTTTTTGGCAACTTGGACAATTTATGCCAGGATCCTTATTTGGTTATTTGTTGCCCAGTTTTCGCTTTAAAAGGTGAATTAAACAAGGAGTTTTTATTCTGTGAAAAAAATTTTTTTTTAACCTCTTTGTACATAGTACATACTTATAT